TGAACATTTGTGCAGCTTCTCAAATTCTTTGTAGTAACCACACATAAACCAGAAGAAAAGGCATGGTTTGTCCATGAGAAAAATCTCAAAATGCAATAAAATGTGTTTTTCTAACCTAGTTTACTTTACTTCTTGTGGCATAGAAAAAATAAACAAAGCAACTTGACTCACAGCCTTCTACACAGGGATCCGTGAGCAGATTTCCCAGGGCCAGCTTCCTGCAGATCCCAGCCTCGGGGATAAATATGTTTATCGCACATTCAGACCCGCCCCGCTGTCCACTGCTAAAGTTTAAGGACATCTGCTTCACAATCCTCACACATTGACAAAGATGTCTGCACCCTTGCCCTACATACCCATGTTCTCTATCACCGTGCTTGCATAATGCACGCATATACACTTGCACGCATGCATGCATATGCACACTTGTGCATGTGTACACATGCATACGTGTGTATACATGTACACATGCACATGCGTGCACGCACGCACACACACACGCACACATACACACACACACACAGAACCTTCATCCCCCAGGCTGCACAGTAGGACTGCTCCCCTGCAGGACACCAGAGGAAGAGGGTGAATAAAGAGTCATCATAGAGAATTTATGCTTTTTCTTCAGATCTTTAGCTCCACATTCAAGAAGACTTTTGCAATAGAAAAAGAAGCAATCAGAGCTAAGGAAAGGAAGCCACAATTACCAAGACATAAGACCTGCGTGGCTGGTGATCCTGTCACTGAGATACGGTGCTCAGACAGAAACACCAGTTACAAAACACACAGATATGAACAAATAAGGAAACAACATTCACATGAGTCAGAATTTTGAGAAATTGGCAAAGTTGAAAAAGCTGCAGATTTCAAAGTTTAAACAAAGTATTTTTCTACCAACTGCCTCAAACTAAATCATTCATTTTTAAACTTTCTTGAACTCCTTAGACTGTTCATTAGTTTTTGTCTTCTGGAGTTGAAATTCGAGTTTAAATGGAGGGACATTATGGAAAAACATTGTAACTAATCTGTCTTATTTTAATTCATTTTTTCATTTCATACACATTTAATATTAGAAGCAAATATTTCACAAGTTAAGAAGGAAGTAATCATCATATGGGGGGAGTGATCATAGTGAGCAGGTAACTGATCATTTTCTACAGAATCTTGGTGCTGCTAAAAGTAATCTCTTTAACTACAGAACTAAAAGTCACCTGTCATAGCTAAGCAAGTAATGAATGTAGGATTTGAAGGATCTGGGTAATTTTAGCCATTTAGAAGTTATATATAAAAAGTGATGTGCAGTAAAATCTTAAGTTTTTATCATATAGAAATGTTTTTAATCAGTTGAACAATAAGAGATGGACATTGAGCTCAATATAATCAAACTTTTTCTTTGAAGCACAATTTCAAACGTAGATTAGATTGATATGCAATTTCAAATGACTCGTATCAATTCTAAGCAAGTCAGAAAAACCAATAGCAAACAAATAATTCAGGAGAAGAATAAGGTACATTTTAAGAGAAAACATCCCAGAATACTACAGATCCTGAGCTGAACACCTACAGAGCTTGTTTTTTCAGGCTGAATTTGAAGGATCACCTTTCAGAGACCCCCCAAAAAAGGCCTTTACTTTGAACTCCATCAGACAGCTGGGGAGAGCTTGTGCTCCATGATTTCCAGGCACAATCAGGATTCCTCTGATCCCCTGGAGGGTTGACTAAAATAGAATACAAAGTCTATTAGATCTCTTATCTGATGGCACCAGTTAAAGAAATGGCTTTGAACATCACAAGCAAAGAGATGTGCAAACAAAAGAAAATTTTACTTTTCTCATTGTATTTCTTAATATCATTTAGGGTATAGGCCCTCTATGTAGGACTTGTTCATTTATCTTGAAATTTTCCAAATTTCTCAAAGTAAATCTAAAAGATAACCTAATGGCCTGAAAAATCACTCTGGGATGTATGTTATCTATCATCTAGAAAATCAGAAATTTTAAAGGAATTATATAATAAGAAAGCATATGCCTAAACATCCATTGTATAAAGAAATAGCAAAAGAGTCTATGGTCTCGTAGTACATAAATTGTAGGTTGTTAACCCAGCCCTCAGATGTCTCCCAGAACCAAATGAAAGCACTTGAGATGCCCATAGACTTCACCTGACCCTCTCTAGTTATTCAAAAAACGTTTGATCATGTTGTCTTCCCTCTCTCACCAGACATCTCAGAACACCTGACTTGCTTTCAGTTCATGTTTAAAATCTTAAAAGGAGTGTTCCCAAAGAAAGTAAAATGAGGAAATCAGTTCTTTTACCTATGGCTAAGCCACTGATGAATTCCCACCGCAGGTGTGAATCTCTTGTTTAGGATGTGGGTCTGTCCCATGCGCCATCAAAAGTCAGTTGGGCACAACAGATAAAGGCGTCCTTGTCGTCCCTGACAGAGAGATAGTTGTTTCTATAATTTTTTTTTTAGAATTTTTAAATCTACTCTTACCTGTTCCTGGCAAAACAGTCCTCCCAGTCACCCAGTGAAACAAGGTGAAGGTTTACTTCTCACCAAAACCTGCAAGAAACAGAACTTCATCTTGAAAGCCTTTCTCCTGCTTAGAGCTATACCCATGTGCCTTTGTCTAATGAATCTTTCATTCATTCATTCATTCATTTTGAGCTATCTTTTCCCTTGGATTCATGCCAGGGACATCTCTTATGAGGAGATTTAAAACCATTTTATCAAACAGTTATATGAAAAAACACCTGCGGGCCAGATGACTCACTTACTTTTCTTTTTCCCAGGGACATCCTGGGCAAGGTGGACCGAGAGGACCACCTGGCTATGATGGCTGCAACGGGACCAGGGGAGACGTAGGCCAGCAGGGACCCTCTGGCCCTGGGGGCTTCCCCGGATCTCCCGTGAGTATCATCAGTACAGCACATGCTGTTCGCACGGTTAGCACTAGAACCTGGATGGCTAGCACTTGTTGGCAGAAATGTCTGAAAGGCACTATATCCTGGGCTGTCATTCGTGGGGCCTGGAAGACCCTACAGAGGACCTTTTTAAGAAATTATCTTTGAGGGAGGGTGCGTTGCCTTCTGACTACTCAGCAGTAGGGCAGCAGGTATATGCTAAGGCTGCCTTTTATACCCCGAGGAAAAATTGCTCTAGTCTCCTCAGTATCAGGGCAAAGCACACCTCCCTGTTTATGTTTTCTTACAGGCTTGATTTTCCTGGATTCATATAACTTCATTTTCCACATTCATTCTTTCAACGTTAGATAGAAAATAATTGATTTGGTTTATATTGTTCACTACTACATTCTCCCAAGTGTTACTTCATTTTCTCCCACGCTCCAATTCACGTAACAGTGAATAATAATATAATAGTAAAACTGAAATTAAAACGCTTAAAGCGTCACAAAATTCTCTATAATCGCCATCTTTATTAGATTCTAAAATCCTTTGTGACGTGGAAGAACTATGATATTCTTCAGCATATATAATATAGAAGTTTATTTTTTTTTTAATGGAAGAACTTTCATATATTAATCTATTTCAGGGCCTCATTTAGTTTTCAGGGTCTTTACAAAGAATCATGAAATATTTTTCAATAGTATATTTTACCCTCTTAACACCAAAATGTTGCAGATTCAGAGTTATACTAACATTTTATTTGGCAAAACTTTTTATTTAAAACAACATTTTTAAGGTGGGGAAGAACAGTCATAAACACCCCTCGCCTTGTTTCCCCCTGAAGCTAACCTTCCAATTCTCGCTTCATTGGCTCATTATTTTTTAATGTGGTTCAACTTTTCAACAAGCTACATCATTTTCTAGTCTATTCTAATAAAATAACTTTTATTGTCAATAAATATATTCATTATTTTAAAATACTGATTTTATATGTAGATATTAAGACATTTATACACGTACATATGTATACACATATCATGTATATTTGACACAATTCCAGTTTTAAAGAATGACCCAGTATCTCTCCCACAAATGGTGCTTCCAAATACATGTGTTAATATTTTCAGTACACTAATGCCAAAGAAAACACAAAATAATATTACAAAGAAAAATAACCTGTTGGTATACTAAAGGATAAGTTTACTAAGCATTTATTTGGGTTTTTGAGAGGAATTTAAATTATATAAAGTATTTCCATTTTTACTTTGAAGAAAGATACCAGTAGGTAAATGTGAAAGTAAGTCTCATTTTTGTGGTTGAACATAGCGATTGGTGTTCACAACCACCTAAAATAAGCTATAAGAGCAATGAGACATTGCCCATAAAAGTCAATGTTTAGTCATTCAAATTACTAAAGATGCATTGAACATCAATGGACTTTTTTGCATTTTCTCCTTCTACCATATATGTGCTACTTTAGGGGCCCCAAGGACCCAAAGGGCAGAAAGGCGAACCTTATGCTCTGTCTAGTGAGGACCGCGACAGATACAGGGTAAGTTTCTTAGAGACGCGAGACCTGATTAAGCAATCCAGTATAAATTCCTAACTAGTAAAATTAATTTCCAAGGGAACTGTGAGTTGTGAGAATGAATGGAGTGAAGGAATGATGCATAGAATGATGGAATAATCCAAAATTATGATTTAAAAATCATTTTATTTCCTTTCAGAATGTTTTCAATCTTATATGTAACTATGGGTGCATCCCTTTACCATATTTGTAATACCCCAGATATTAGGTAATTAACATTACCAAGTTCTGTCAGGGCCGATATAACTTATATATGGTTTCCAGTGTTACAATAAAATGTAATTAAATCTAAAGATGCTTAAAAACTAGAACTCTTAACATTATTTCTTCTCAATTAGGGTGAACCTGGAGACCCTGGAATAGGCGGGTTCCAGGTAAGTTTAATTTTTATTAGAAAATATTTCAAGCAACACTTTAAGAATTCAGGACTTCGAATACCAGTCTACCTCTCTTAATAGCCTTTTGTTGGTGCCTGTCCTTAGGGGCCTCCCGGCCGCCCTGGGCCTATGGGACCGATGGGTCCAGTTGGAATTCCAGGAAGACCAGTAAGTACCATGTGCATGTGCTCACCCTTGGATCATTGCCAAGGCATCCTCTAGAGATGCAGCTTCTTCAACTATTGATACAGACGAAAGCTTCACAATACAACTATGATGTTTGTGGTCACTACAGAAAATGTCAAAACAAAACAGGTCATCCCCTGCATACATTTTGCTGCTATTAAGATAGAAGAATGAGAACTCAAAATTTGTGGTCACCAGAGCACTGCCAATCAAATTTAAAATTGGTGTTGATTGGGTGCTATTCCAGTCACATACAAGTTCTCTCTGCACCATACCTAACCAACTGACAAAGAGCGTGTCATCCCCAAGCAAAGAAGGCTGAGGTCCAACAGGGATAAGAAGGAAATGGGTTCTGCCTAGGCATGGCCATTATAGCAGGTGCATCACACCGGAGCATGGCCATCATAGCAGGTGTACCACACCGGGGCATGGCTGTCATAGCAGATGTACCATGTCTGGGCATGGCCATTATTGCAAATGAAATATTGGACATCCATTAGTAAGATGGCCCTAGTGCTCCACTTGAATGGCAGTCTACAGGTTCATGCCCCCTGCAAATCAAATGATAGAGTGAGGTGCCAAATACTTGGATGAAGGAGGGCTTGTTGCAAGGAGGGGACAGGAGGAGAAAGGAGAGTCGCTGGTGCCTGTGCAGCCCTCAGGCCACTTCCACCACTACTCAAGGAACCCAAGAGATAAACTGGCTACTTCGAGAAGGTTTCTGACTCTCCTTTTCCACATTTTTTAGTGTGAGATAAATAGACAAATTACAAAAGGACAAATTTTAGCTACGGGTGAGAGAGACCTACTCACAGAAAACCATTGCTGAAGACTGAGGGACACTACCAAGGGGGGCTGTGGTATCAGTTTCTGGACAGATGATGAGAAACAATGGAGATGTATGTTTGGGAAGATTCAGTTGTACTAATAGTTGGCAGTGGGAACACTCACAAATTTCCTTCAGACTGTTGATCATAATAATTGATTTTTTTTCTACAAAGTAACTTTCATTGGTACTATAACTGTGAAAAATAACTGTGAAAGTTATTTTCGCGAATAGCCCTCTGCTATGAAAGATGTGGCCAAATGAAATGATACAGGAATTATATGATAAGAGGTTCTTTGCTCTCCTCTTGCATACGGTTGCTGGCTCACAGCACACATATCACATGGTTTGGGGGTTTTATACTTTAAATATACAGTTCATAGAAATATAAAACAAAATTGTCCCTGCCGGGCCCTTAGCTGACCTGACAACTTCAAGTTCTTCATATGGGCCATTAAAATCACCCACAATCCTCCACCTGTCCACTTATATTTAAACACTAATTGTTCTTTTTATGCACTTTTAAAACTTCATTGCAAGTGTAGTGTTGATGTTGAAAGCTTTGCAGATAGACACACAGTGATATTTGTAGATGGACTCTCAACCCTGCAGTATTGGCCTGTAGATTAATTCTGCCTGTGAACATTTGCTGACCCACCAGCAAACAGTGCTAGATAATGCCCCATGGGGAACCCCAGAGGGAGTCAGGAGAAACGGTCTCTGCAGTGACAGGTCCTCGGGCCTTGCAAAGGGAGCAGAGCAAGCACAAATACGACATGGGTGAATTCAAAAGTCTAAACTCAGAGAAGCAAACCCGAAACAGCTGTGCATGTACAGCCAGCAAATTCTGAGAACTGGGCCTGACCCCAGTCCTGTACCCTCCAGCTGTTCCTCCCTGCTGAGACTAATGTATCAGAAACTTCTATACATACTACATGGTGTTCTAAATATACAGTGAATGGCTTTCCCAGAGCTTTCTAGCAGATGTTATCTGGGTCTGGGGATAAAGAAAACAATTTATACATTTCTTTGTATTTGTGCAGGGACCGCCTGGACCCCCTGGACCAAAAGGACAGCCAGTAAGTTGGTTGTTGGGGGGAGGGAAGGGAGAAGAGGGAGAAACTTATATATTTGTATATCTCTTTCTGGGCCATAGAAATACTCAGTGGACAACTATATATCATTTATTTCACGGATGAGTATCATTTTGTAGGTTTTTAAGACTTGATGTTATAAGTTCCAAAGAGAAATCCAGTGGTACATCTGGAGTAGCTGACACGTTAAATAAGTGGATGTGTTGAATGATTTGTTGTTTGCAAATCACATAACATTCCTATTGTGTGAAGATCTAAGTGATGAATGATTAGAAGCATAGATTTAGGGACAGCTCATATATCTGTATGTGTTAATTTATAAGAATGGACAAACTATAGCTATGTTTCCATAGAGTAGCCATTAGCATTCTTACCTGGATATAACTAGGTTCTACAAGAGTGAGATATCAGCCTCTAGGGATATATATAGCCAATGATTTTCAACTCGGGCTAGAGCCCAAAGCTTTACTGTTTCTATCAGAGGAAGATTATTAAGTCGTTTAGAGTACAACAAAGTAGGTGGCTTGTTAGAACTTGGAGACAGAACTAAGGTTCAGTATGAGGGAAGTATTTGATCAAAATTCAACATGAGACAGAAATACTGAGCTCTGTTACCAACATTTAAGGACCATTCTGTGGCCTGCACATGGCCAAGGACATCTCCCAGCCTGCACGTTCCCATGCCTGCCTCCACAAAAATCCCATCTCTGACCTCCTGGGGACCTCAGCTGCCACCACCCAGGTCCCCAGCTCCCATCACCTCTGACACGGCTTCCGGTTGGGGCTGGAGCTTGTTAAGGCTGCTGCCCCCACCCCTGGGATCCCCACTGTCTGGCAGCCCCAAGCAGGGTGGGAACAGCCCAGAGCCAAGAGAAGCGGATGTAGGATGGGGCGGCCGAGCTCTAAGGTCGCCTCAGATCCTCACTTGGCTGCAACACAAACAGCCCTCATCCCCAACCAGGTCACTTCCTGGTGACTTGGACAACCAGCTCATGAGGCAGAGAGACCACGGGGGCCCAAGCAAATCGCATTCTAATCTAGCCTGGCTGTGTTTCTGAGCTTTGATTTCAACTCCCAGCCAGGTGGTGAAGAAGCGAAAATAGCAAAAATTAGTTAAAGGTTTTGCTTTTATTTTCAGAAAATCTCTGAGCATTGGAGGGAGCGGACAGTTTACTTCAGAGAGAAAGATCAGATATGGCCCGCGTGATCTTTTGTCGAGATAGGAATACAGAGAACTTGGGAAAGAAGCAGAGTTGTTTTGAGGTCAAAGGAAAGAGTATTATTTCTATAACATGCATGGATTTGTAGTACAGGCATACCTCATTTTATTGTGCTTCAAAGATATTGTGTGTTTTACAAAATGAAGATTTCTGGCAACCCTGCATCAAATAAGTCTATCAGCATCATTTTTCCAACAGACTCAGATGATGGGTAGCACTTATTTAGCAATATAGTATTTTTAATTAGGTATGTATATTGTTATTTTAGACATCATGCTATTGCACACTTAAAGACTATACTCTAGTATAGTCTTATATGCACTGGGAAACCAAAAGATTTATGTGACTCACTTTATTGCAGTATTTACTTTATTGTGGTGGACTGGAACCAAAACCACAATATCTTCGAGGTATACCTGCATAGCTTTTCATATGTGCCTGTTTTAGACACCAGAATCAAGTCGATTCTCCCATACATGGCAACCCCACTCATGAAACTATTAAATACCTTCCAAGCCGCTGATCTAGCTTTGCCTCTTAGGCAAAAAGGAAGATTAAGAGGTTGAATAAAATCTGAAAAAGCACCATCCCCTAAAATCATTAAAGGGTAGGAAATATTTATGTTAAATTAGGATTATCTTATCAAAATGAGAAATAGCTGAGGCAGAAGAAGGAATGAATCATGATCTCCAAAAAAGGAAACCAAGAAGAAAAACTGGCTGCTTTCTAAATCTAAAGGGGCCAGATGACCCAAGGAAACACTCGGGGTCACTAACCTGCAGAGACGATATATGAGCAATTAAGAGTCAGAAAGACCTGGGATCAAATCAAAGACTGCCACTTATTAGCTGTGAGGCCTTGGTCAAGGGATATGTCGGTTTCACCACCCATGATGTCCAAACTCATCATGTGATACAGAGGATTAAAGAGAGAGTGAAGCATTTAGCACAGGCCCTGAACTGCGGTAGTGCTGACAGCAAGTATGGAATCAATAATACAGTCAAGTTTCTGTTCATCAAGTTGTTTGAACAAAGGAATATATTTTAAAAGGCAAACAGTAAAATATTCCTTAGAGTGACAAAATAATTACTGTTAGTCCACTGTTTTTGAGGTTTTGCTTAGAGTATAAAATAAAAAAATTTCTTAAGAGCATATTTGTATTTAAAAATGGCGTGATTACTGACTTTTAAAAACTTACAAAAACTCATTGATTTTTCAGGGCAACCGAGGACTTGGTTTTTATGGAGAAAAGGGTGAAAAGGTAAAGAAAACATAATCGATTAAAACGGAGGCATGCACTGTTTAGTAATTAGGAAATAAATAATTTTAATGACTATGTTTTATGCTGTTTTTTTGAAGTGGTCTGCAAACAGACCATTCGTTTAGGAGATAATCATTGTAAAGTGCCAACTTACTCCAGTGATAGTTATGGAGCAATAAGACAATACAAACCAACCATCTAGGTTAGCCCTAGACCTCTGACATAGACACAACTTCAGCTGTCTTCTAACATGGAGAATCCAGAGGTGATTAAGGAGACTGAACCCAGAGCCACAGACTAACGTGAAGCCAGCTCAGGGATGAGGTGATAAGGCCAGCTCTTTTGGGGCTCAAAGGCAGGACCACGTGGACTTTTGTAATTCCCCACAGTGCCAAGATTCAAAGACCATGTGGCCTTTGAGAAGATCATTTGAGATTATGTGTATGAAAAGCTCAAGGTGGCATTCACACTCAAGGAGCAAAACCTCACCAACATACAACTCCATGGCATTCACCCCAAAACCTACATATCCACTGAAAAATAGATTTGTTTCTTTAGCTTTGTTGTTTGAGCATTTTTGTTTTTTCTTACATTTTACTTTTTGATTGAATAGCACACTAAACTTGCACTACTCAGGTGTGAAAAGGACTTTGCCCTTCACATTAATACCATAGAAGGAATTACAAATGAAAAACATTGAAAGATCTAAATATATAAAAGTTTGAATTCCTATACAATAAAATACAACAAAATAATAAAATAACAAAAAAAAGAAAAATCTGGGAAGAAATAATTCGTAGAGGAGAGAATAGTCACATTAGATAGAATGGAAATGAAGTTAATGTCTGTAATCTACAAAAAGTTTATTTAAATTGTTAATTAAAAAAAGAAGAAGAAGAACCTCAGGCCCCAGTAGATAGAGGGGACATGAACAGTTTAAGTATTTTTTAGGTATATTAGTAGACGCTCAGAGTACTCTAGAATACCACTTTCTGCAGCTAATACATCATCTCAATTTGTTCCGGTTTATATTATATGATATCTGGACTCAAAATAGTATTATATAGTTTATACATGGAAATAGCAAAAGAAAAGACAATAATTTTCTTTATGTCAGTTAGTACCTGGGAGGTCAAGCCAGTATATATGTTAGGATAGTTGCCCAATAATGTTGCAGATCTATATGTTTCACCATCTGTGCACCACATTAAAGAAAGTGTTTCTTGCTAATGATAAAAATGCAAATTAAAACAACTTTGAGATATTATATTTATTAAAGATGCTACTTTTTATCCCAGACAAGAAAAAGCTAAAGGAGTTCTCCACCACCAAAAGAGTATTACAAGAAATGTTAAAAGGATTTCTTTAAGAAGAAGAAGGGGAAAAAATCATAAATATGAATAATAATATGGCAATAATTACATACCCATCAATAATCACTTTAAATGTAAATGGATTAAATGCTCCTATCAAAAGACATAAGATGGCTGAATATATAAGAAAACAAGGCCCATACACAGGCCATCTATAAGAAACCCACTTCAGATCAAAAGATACACACACAGACTGAAAGTAAAGGGTTAAAAAAGATATTTTATGCAAATGGAAATGAAAAAGCTGAGGTAGCAATACTTACATCAGACAAAATAGACTTTAAAACAAAAGCTATAATGAGACAAAGAGGGACATTTCATGATGATAGAGGGATCAGTCCAACAAGAGGATATAACTCATACAACTTTACACCAGAAAAAAAAAAATCCAATTAAAACATGGACAGAAGGTGAAAAAAAAGTGAAATCTTACCATTTGTGACATAGATGGACTTAGAGGGTAATACGCTAAGTGAAATAAGTCAGACAGAGAAAGACAAATACCATATAATTTCACTTATATGTGGAATCTGAAACAAAATAAATGAACAAACAAAACAGAAGTAAGTACAGAGAACAAACTAATGTTTACCAGATGGGAGGGGGGTTGGGAGGCTGTGTGAAAAGGTGAAGAGATTAAGAAGTACAAATTGGAAGTTACAAAATAGTCATGCGATATAAAGTACAGCATAGAGAATATAGTTAATATACTAGATTTATTGAGGGTCTCACTCTGTAAACTATATAAATGTCTAACCACTATGCTGTACACCTGAAGCTAATATAATATCGAATGTTAACTGTAATTGAAAAATTTTTTTAATGAATTTAAAAAAAAAAAGATACTGCTTTTTAGAATATAAAAACACCCTTAACTGGTGAAGTAATGGTGAAACTGGAGTCTTTCATTTCTTAGGCATTTCTTATATCTCGGTACCAATCTTGAAAAGCAATAGAGTTATACATGTCAAGAACCATAAAGACATTTAGCCTTCAGACCTAATAATCTCCTTGATAGTAATTCATCATAAGGAGATACGTGTAGCCCCCAAATTGTGAATAACCTAAATAGTTTTTATGCAGACATTCTAACTATTATTAATGCAAACAGGATACAAATAATTTTACATTATGGTTATTGCATTTTAAATTGAGTTTTGTTTTATATTATAAATATAACACTACAAAATTAATGTAGATGTGATAAGTAATATGCAAGGAGAAAAAAAGTAGTTTGTGGTGGGATTGTGCTTTTACTCAAGTTTGGTAATGTCTTCCCGAGTAAAGACTACTGCTTTGCTAAACTATTCACAGGGTGACATGGGACTGCCCGGACCCGATGGGATTCCATCAGACGGCAATCATGCCATCATCGGGCCCAGGAATGAAACATTCCACCCAGATCAATATAAGGTAAAGGAGCTTCACCAAAATTGACAGTTCCCAATTGAACTTTAAAAAAAGAAGGAAAAAAGGTAACTTTCTTTATCTTATTCAAACAATCACATTCAAAGTAGAAAAGGCCTCACTATCAACTTGTGCATGAAAACACAACTATTCATTCCATCAAATAACTACAATAGTCCACATCTTAAACAATTGTGACAAATTTGAAACAACATAAGGATCCATAAAAAAATCTCCAATGTATCCTTAAGTACATGAGTCTCCTGTGTAGACATAGATTATAGTCAGAGCATAATTCAAACCCAGTATATGGAACTACACAACAAAATGTTATAGTCTGCAACATAAACCTACCCTACTTTTACTCTTTGCTGACATAAAGCATCATCGTGGGGGGTTTGGGGGGATCGAAATTCATTTTCTGGCCCTTATGATGTCTCTTAACATTTCATTTGATTAAAAATGTACTCTTGGAGTCTGAAATAAAACTCAGCATCCTGCTGTACCACTTACTCGTTCAGATGGCCACTAAACCCTCCTGAGCCTTCGTGTTCCTTATAGAGCTGCGGAGTGGATTACAGGAGGCCACAGGTGAAATGTCTGGTAAAGTCAGGCACAATCAACAGGAATCAAAATAAAAACCTCAAACATAGAATATAATTCCCAATACTCAAGTATTTGTTAAGATGGAGTCTGGGTGCTTAGTCGTTCATGGGAGAGGCAGGCATGACCGCTGCCCTGGCGGGGGGGCGGGCATTAACCTAGGCAGCTATAGGTCAAGTTGAGTGACCTGACCATTGATGAAAGTGGCCTAGGAGGTGGCTGGTGTAAGACAGAATGCCAGAGGAAAGTGAGTCAGAAGCAAATGGTTGTGTATAACTGAGAAAGTGGTACATCTTGGACAACCAGGCAAGAGCAGGATCCCCACTGAGTGTGTCAAGGTGGTTTCTGGGCGGGCCTCTGGCTCCTAGTGGTGACCTGATCATCAGCCAGGTAGGGCCTCTGTCCAGGAGCTGAAGATGGAGCCCAGCCAGAGCAGGTTCTACCCACGCTGAGATTCTCAAGCTTCCGAAACACTTTTCCTTCATTTTCTACAACCAAGAAGCAATGGTTCCAGGGCTGGGGCCCAGCCAGCCTGCTGGGGACAGTTTGGGGCCACAGGGATCTGGGCGCTGTCCTAGCAGTAATGGAGATCAAGGACCCCGCCGGTCACTACATTTCTTTCATCATTTTAGGCCAAGAGAAGTGGAAAAAATAGGTCAGACAGTGTTAACATTTCTTTCCAAAGCCATTTTTGCTTGGAGTTTTAACACATTCCAAATGTGTCTTTTCTTCAAAGAACCCTCCTAATAATATTTTATTTACGTGAATATTATCATTTGGGGCTTTTCTCTGGGCACAGTCTACCGCCACAGGACGTTATTACATGCCTGCAGTTGTGAGATGATAAAGGAAAGCACATAGATAGAGACAGCCTTGCAATCACAGCAAAAATAACATGATTTAATTTATATTATGAAAACCCAAAACAAATAGCACATTTTTCCTTGAATATGGAGCTGCAAAGTTTAGATTTGTTTGTTACAATTCATTTATAATGCTTGTTTGAAGTTTTATTAAATATATTTCACCTCATATCATAAACCCTGATGAATTTTTAAATATTACTATTTCAAATTAAAGAGCATTTCTTATTTTTCATTTTCTTCACAGGGTGACAAAGGAAGTGAGGGGGAACCAGGACGAATAGTAAGTCATGCAATAAAGATATTTCTTCTCCCTAACGGTTCCCAAATTTGACGTGTTCCTATTGCAATAGTAGTGTGCAGGAGTTGTAACAACCCACCGACTCTTGGTTTCCAGCCCATTTGTCTACAGCAAGAAAGCATTATCATTTATTTTTATGCTTTCCTTCAGAAAATAGATTCAGAATGTCTTCCTTTTTGCATAATAAACACCAGCTAATCAACATTTTCTGAAGTCCATAAAATGAACCCAAACTCTTTAAAAGAGAAAATATGGGGAGGGGGGCAGGTTTGATGGACTGGCTTCTGTTTTAGGGGTCTAGCCATACAATCACTCTGCCCTCTTTTCAATCTCTGTCATGACTGCCCCAGTGCTCCCAGTCTTCCTACATCACACTTACTAGAGGGCATGAGAGTGGTATCCTAGATACGTGATGATCCGGGCAGACTCAACAGATCTCTACTAATCTGCCATTCTACTGGGCTGGAATAGAGAACCACAGAGGCAGGGTGGCCACGGGGTGCTCAGAAATGGAATCCCTGAGCAAGTAAAGAGTAAAGTGGTAGCCACTCCCTCAGGTCTCTGTGTTTTCTCCTAGGGCATTTCCTTGAAGGGAGAAGAAGGAATCATGGGCTTTTCAGGACCGCGGGTAAACCATGTGTTCTATGTCTGTGGTTTGTTTTGTTCTGTTTTTTCAATAGACTTTATTTTTAGAGTAGTTTGGGGTTCACAGCAAAGCTGAACCGAAAGTACAGAGAAATGTCCCTCGCACCCCCTTCACCTCTACACACACAGCCTCCCCCACCCTACATTTCGAACCAGAGTGGTCCATTGACTACAGCAAATGAGATGTACCTGCACTGATTGACGCATCATTTATCTCCCAGTAACTGGGGTTTTTAAAACTGTGTACCTCCATTTGGTGAAGGATAGGAACAGAACACAAACACATTTCTGCTTGTATTAGTTAGGCTAGATTAATCTTTGGTAACAAAAATGTAGAGTCCATCGAAAATGTTCCCAGGGGTATGGGGCAAGAGAGCGTCTCCTCTGAAGGAGATTCAGCCACCTGTGGCTCCCATGCCCTAGGACAGACCTCCTTCTTCACAAGGTTGCCCGAAATGACACCTGCCACTTACCCACCCCCCGCCCCGCCCCATCAGCCAGAACTCAGTCACATGGCCAAACCTAGGCACAGCAAGCTGGGAAATGGGCCAGGAAGAAGAGAAAGTGGCCTTATAATAACTGTCTGGTAGCCATTATCACTAAAAAGTCATTTGTTACAATCTCTGAAAATAAGAACAGCAACTTTTATTAGAGTGCAGCCCTTTTTATATCTGTACCATTCTTATACTATCTTCATGGATTTCTCCAAATTTCTTTAAGTGGTAGATATGATGCATTATATGAAAGTGTCGCTAAAATGATCCATCTCCTTTAGAAAATAAAGAGTTTCGAATGGTTTTGATATTTTCATGTCAAGTATTTTGTTTTAGTCTATGCCAGGTGCCATAGTAATGCCCTCTGGAAAACATTGCCAGGTATTCTAAGCTGTTATTGTTTCTATTTTCTGTTCAACCCAGGGTGCCCCTGGCTTCGATGGTGAAAAAGGTTTACCAGGACAAAAAGTAAGTGTGATGCATAAAATGCAATCTGCTCCAGGCCTGAAACATCTCACAAAGGTCAAATATGAAGACTATAGAATCTCAGAAAAATATTGCCCCAGAAAAAAACATTTAAAACTTTCACTGCATTTACCATGGCATAAAGTAATCCTTCACCCCAAATCATTCGAGATGCTTGAGTCAGATTATTTAGCTTTTACTCATTTTGCAAACTAGCTCTTTGATTCTTTCCTTTGGTTCTCTCCCTCCAGACATCACATCAACCAGTCCCTACCAGCTACGACTTTTGTACCTTCCAGTCTCACACCTCTCCTCTGAGTCATTTCATGTTACTCTTAGAAGAGTAGTCAGCGTGGTGACCAAGGAAGGGATCACTTAGATTTTTTATGTATTGATCTGACTCACTTTGACACTTTGTTTATCTTTAATGATGACCCAATTAGTTATTTTTACCATGTGTTCTGTAGAGAGATTTTTGGCAATTTCTAAAGAAGAAAACATTATGTGAGTAATGTGTTGTAAATCTGGATCAGGCTTAGAATTGTCTGAACGATAGGTCATATGAGAGAGTACACATAAAAATAGATTGTATAAATTAATGATTTATTATTTTCACTATTCATTATCTTTACTAATTCAATCATAGTATACATAGCACACATCCTTCCCATCACAGAACCTGGAGGCAGCCAGTGTAAATAATTCCGTGGGTATTTTTTCCGATAAGCACTAGTATACAAAAGAAATGCATTTTTATATGCATATAACTTAATAACAGAAAGTAAATATATTTGCATTGTTCTGCCACTTGCTTTTTCATCTAATGTGCTTTGGAAATTGTTCCACATTAGCACATACTTACAAGCTGTACAGAATTGCAGTCAATGGATGTACCATATTTGCTTAACTAGCCCCCCACGGTGGTTTCTAGCTGCTTGCTATTTTCAACAATCACACATTCAACATTATGGTACACACACCTTAGTGCCCATGGGCTAGTATTTTCATAATTCAGTCCTAGTAGGCTTTTAAAAAAGAGGCTTTTTTAAAAAATTGATTCAGCCTCCAAATCATGTCTCTACTGAATCATGCTCATGGCTCCATGGCAGGATGGTAGCATGACATCTGGAGAACCATAAGGATGCTGCTAGCGAGTGCCAGGTTTCGTCGGTCCCACTTCAGGGAGTTCTACCATATTTGTTCTGGCACTACAGATGGGACTTGGCCTCCCAGATTTGGTTTCTGACTTACACCGGCTCTAGGCACAGGCATCTTAACCCCATGTTCTGGTTTTGACCACTCACAGTGAGCACCCATCTTGATGTCTTTCTGCTACCTTAAGTGATCTCATTTTTCCCATTTCTCTCCTTTTATGCTAAACTCAGGCCAGGGATGAAACCAGGATTTGCCCTGATTACTCCCATCTTTTCGTAACATTAGTAACCGATAGTAGTACACCCAAAGGTAGCGTACCTGGAGCAATAGTTATCCATGCAACACTCAGCCAAAGGCCAAAAGGATGAATTCTAGCATTTAACAGTAATTCATTTCCACCTACCCTATGTAATTAAAGTACCACCGTTAATACTTTGATTGCCTGTGATGTGCTAGTGAAATCATAATTATGATTTGTTTTTCTAAACCCAACACTAAGGAGTTACAGCATTTTTAAAATGCAGCACACTGCCCTCCTAGAACTCCGTAGTTAATGAAGAACAAGGTGTTCGCCAGTCGCTGACCGCCTGGGGCCTCTAACTGCGGTGTCTCAGATGTTGAGATTGAAGGCTCATGTCTTCCAGTTTGCTTTCTGCACTTGCAACAACTGGAGAAAATGCAGATACTTCCAATTAAGTGGAGTATCTCAGTTGCTGCAGTGAAATGTTTTCCTCAACTATACGAATAGAAGATGCTCAAGATGTACACACATGGCTGATCTAAAGAAGAAAACATTATGTGAGTAATGTGTTGTGAATCTGGATCAGGCTTAGAATTGTGCATGGCTGAGTTGTTCTACATGTTAGTGCCACACTGTGCCACAGACGACCATGCGTCTACCATGTGTTATCTCGCTTGCCAAGTTGCCATTACTCTCCAACTTCTCAGTTATACTTATAGGCTTTGGTTTAAGGATGTAAAATGGAACCAGTAACTAGAGGCAGCTCCAAGGAGCAACTGTTAACACCAACATAAACATAAACAAAATAGGATAAGCCAAAAAAGAAAAGATTCTAGGAAAGATTTTGCTTTCTCTATAGGAGCAGAGAATCAGCTACCCCTCCCTCATTCCTCCTGAGATTGATAGAACTTTAATTAGTTCTGGGGATGCTTGTTATTGCTTGTTGATGATGTCACAGCACCGCTGAGCAGTGCTTGGGTGGCCCAGATGGCATATAGATTTGACAGTCTAGCACATCGTTTGAACTGGATTGTAACACAGCTCAGACAAATGCCTCATTACCAACCCCCTAGCCATTGGCAAGCTCTTTAATGATTCCTATCTTATGGGAAGGCCTCTAAGTAGATCATTTTTAATATCAGAGAAATTTGCCTTCACTTTTGAATCTTCAGCTCCACCTAGTGTGGAAGAAAGTCAGTCTAAATTATAGGCCCACCATGAAAATTACGAAATTAAGCCAATCTTAGTTCATTTTAAACAACATGACTTTCAGCATACATGCTCCTAGATTTTAAAATATTCTGTAAAATAATCTGATAATATCCATTTTTTATACCATTGGTACCTGGCATTCTGAATTATTTTGGGGGCTTTCCTATGCATGTTCTTTAAGCAAAATGGAATAAATTTTTGGATTTTTAAAAAAGGTTTACATATCTATCCAGATATGACATGGCTCTTTTGATACATATTTGAGGGAATTAGAAAGCAACAGGTAACATTAAAACTTTTTTTAATAAAGAGAAAAAAATTCTAAATTGAGAGGCTTTAATGCTCCCGTTTGGTACTAACTGAAAATTTTCAAAACTCATCTTGGAGGAAGATTTTAAAAGATGCATCAGGTTGTCAACACAACCCCACCGATCAGTCATAAAACTACTCGAACTTGGCATCTGTGCCTCCAGAAGGGATGCATAGGAAGGACACAGCACCCTGCATGAACTATTAATGCTCAAAAGGTGAACCTAAGCCTAATGAAGCCTCTAGATCCAACAACTATTTTAGAGAAAATAGAGTAGGTAGTAGAATATTTGCAGTACCGATGACCCAATTTCCTCAACAGCAACAACAAAAAAGAGTTACTGGAAAAGTAGAAAGTAAAAGGAAACTATCATGAATTAAAAAGAAAATGAAGGAATATAACAGCCAAATGTCGTGTTTGGACTTTGGTTGCTGATTCAAACAAAGCAACTTTAAAAAGACATTTTTGAGACCAAAATCATGAAAAATTGAACAGAGACTGGGAAGTTGGTGATTTTAATGAATTGCTGTTAATTTTATTAGGCATAATAATAGTATGCCTAATAAATTATATGTTAGAGATTAAAATAAGCATCACACATCTTTCTTGCAGGGAAGCAGAGGACCAGATGGTTATCAAGGCCCCGATGGACCCCGAGGACCCAAGGTGGGATCAGTTTTCATTTGGATGGTTTTCAGTTCTTTTCTTTGGATTGTGTCCTGATCACCTCCTATTCACCATAGGGGACAAGGGAGGTATCCTCTGTGCAGTATAAGAATAGGTAACCAAACATATAATACCCAGCACTGAAGAGATGAGATGGACACTCATTTATTAGTCACATATAGCCCAGCCTCAGGATGCTGCACATCACGCAGGGCCATACAGAGGTTGCATGCACTTGGAAGCTGCACCCAGAGCAGACAGAACTATGGGAGAGGCTTTGTGGTAAGAGGAGGGTGGGGCACCCTCTGGTTCCCAAAGGACAATGTGACTGACTCATTTAAATAATTGCATGGGCTGGCAGGGAAGTGAGATCCAGGAGGCTGAGGATCAGGTAGGCTGCAGCTGCTCCAGCTGATGAGGGGACCAGCCAGGGAGGGAGATTCTCCTGTTGGGTAGGTGGCAAGTCTTGTGAGGACAGGGAAACTCGTGATTAGGCCTATGGGACCCAGGAGGCAACACTTGAAATATTAGAGCTTACAATCCAGATGGCATTGTTTCAGGGTATAGGTGTATCACCCCTGTGGGGTAGCTCAGATACCGTTATCAACAATAGAACAGTCTACCCTGCAGAAAGCAGCCTCTTGACTGAGTCCAGTGTTTGACAAGAATTTCAGAGTGATAGTGGCACCTACCCACTTTGTTGTCTCTTGGTGTGTCTGGGATGCCTGGACTTATTGCCACAGCATAGTGGAGTGGTGCCCCAGGCAGAATCTATGGTTTAGTTACTCAGAATAGTAAACTAAGCTCATGGTCCACATGCAGCTTTATTCTTTGGAAATATGCAGTGTCCAGAACTCCAAAGGGCCAGTCTCGCATTTCTCTATTTCCCTCTTTTTTTCCTCCAGGGAGAAGTGGGTGACCAAGGCCGCCCAGGCCCACCTGCCTATTCCCCTCATCCTTCTCTAGCTAAAGGTTTGTGTGCGATTTCTCCTGCATGTTTACATTACATGTACATTCTTTTCTGTTATAGAAACAGAGTCATAAACTGGCAAGAAAGATTTATCTAAGTAAAAGAAAACAAAGCAAACAAAAGATGGTTAGAACATAACCTTTGTAGAATTTCAGTCTCACGTGCACCTTCCCTTATGGCTTCAATGTGGTATCACAGGAGACTCATTTTGCCTCTTCCTGAGAGAGTTCTCCCCACTTTCCAGGTGAGACCCCTCTGTGGGGAAATTCTTCTAATTCTGTATACTTTGTGCAGGTTCTGGTTTTGCCATTTGCAATATCACTGAAGGTATCCAGTCCTACACATCAGGCCTCTATGGCAGGAGGCCACACCACCTTCGCTCATCATGCTCCATCTGTACCAAGATGCTGACACCCCTCTGCTAGACAGTCTAAAGCCTGGAATTGATCATAAGCACACTCTGTAAACAGTCATAGCCCTTTAAACTTCAAGGAACTAAATCCCTAGATGTTTTCACATAAATAACTCCCCAGGAAAATGCTTCACTGTCACAGTTGACCCCAGCGCGTAAATGAAGGATGTTGCACATGCTGCGGCTAATGCTCATCTTTATTTTAGTTCAGCTTCCGGTGGGTGAGAGTATATTGAAATATTTTCAAACGCTATAAGAGCAATGGTCTCTGAATCTTTTTGAATGTGCATCCTTCTAAAAAGATGTTTTTAAAAAGTGTTTTGAGCACTCCCCTGAATAATTATACATGTATTTATTTATGGATACTTTATCCATGTCACAGGAAGTTCCATAAAGGCAGAGATTGTAGCCTGTGTGGTTCATTGTTGCATCCCCAATTTCTAGAACAGTTCCAGGCACCTAGTATGTACTCAGTGAATATTTATCTGAATAACTAAATAATGTACATGCTAAAACATACACATCAGAAGGGATTTTAAAGAGTAAAGTTTTTTTTAAATAAAGATGCTTTAATGCATTCTTCCTATACTAGTAGATCATCTGGCTCTCCCTATCATATATGCCCAGGGGTCAAAGACTCAGTGTCCTGCTTAGGTGTGAATCATCTGTCAGTTTAATAACTAGTTTTGCATGTCTTCATCCGACATGCCAAAGAACATAGCAATACCACTTGGTGTTTGTTTGTTTATTTAGAAGTAAGGCTTATAAGAGCATTCATGTGTTATTCACCCAACAAATCGTTATAAAAAGCCAATCCAGGTAGGAGCTGGGGTTCAGAGGAAGAGGGGGCTCAAAGAGAATCAGCCCTCCACACATAGCTCCTTGGCCCCTGATGCCATGCCTGGTACATGGGAAGATTCCTTCTTTATTCTCACATTAGACTCAGTTGCTTATCCAACCTGATTTTCCATTACCCTTGTTCACCTGTACCCTGACACTCCAGTCCAGCCCTGCCGAGCGCTCCCAGCTCTGTGCTTTCAGTTAGGCTGATGTCCCTCCCCTCTGAGAGCCCTTCCTTCCACCATCCTCTGCCGTCGCCCTCCCCTGCCTCTCATCTTCATCAAACTCCACCAGTGTCTGAAGCTCAACTGTCAGGGTACCTTCTCCAGGAAACCTGAGTGCCCTTGGGCACAATGTTTCACCTCCCTGTAAAACTGGGACGATGAGACTATCTATACCACATGGTTCTATGGGAATCAAATGTATGAAAAGTATTTAATGCTCAGCCTAGTGCACACTGCAATAGCTCAAAATGTTATCTACTGCTATTATTTTTATCCTTAATGGTCCCTCGATATCAGATTTTTGCCCCCAAACAATCTTCCCCTCCTTCGAAACCTCTCTGTGTCTTTTTGGCATTATGTGCCCCTCTATTGTTTTATGATATTTATAGGAATCTTGTATCAGCCCCATTTGTTTGGGAATGAGGTCCTTGAAAACAGGGACCACCATATAGTAAACATTTGGACCCCCACTATGCTTCAGGAAATGTGCAGAGTATTGGTAAATATGTATTTAATGAAATAGGTGAACATCTGATGCAAGTCCTAGACCACAAGTCCTGTTCTTACTGTGTGGCCCATCTCGGTTTCAGGTGGCAAAGGCGATCAGGGATTCCCAGGGACTTCTGGGGAGCAAGGACCCCGGGGTGAGCCAGGAGACCCCGGCCCACCAGGTCCCCCTGGCACATCCATCAGAGATGAAGGTAATGTGTTCCACGGTATTAAAACTATGACCAAAAGTATGTCCTCTCAGCCTTCACATAAACCACTGGCCCCTTACTGACTGCACAGCTTGGTTGGTGCTGGTGCTCTTCCCCGTAGACTAGGTTTAGCAACTGAACCTAGTCTCACGTACATGTTTGGATGTCTTCACAGAACAACAGGACCTGTGACAGTAACTCTCTCACTAGGTTAGACTCTGTCACTAATGAGTAACTAGCATGATTCTGTCCGTTGGCTGGGAAGAGCATGGGCAGTCAACAAATGTTGTTGCCAAGAGTTGGCAGGAAATCTCAGGCCATTATTCGGAGGCAAGAAAAGAGACTTTTTTAAAGTAAAAAAATAGTGATGAAATATACCACTGGCATCCACCCCCTAAGTGACTGCCTGGACTGTA